GGGGGGGGATCCCTGCAGGGAGCCATGAGTGACAGTCACGGCTCTCTGCAGGGACAGGATCGAGAAGTGAGCGAGCGCCCGTATGTGTTCGCTCACTTCCCGATCTATTGAGCCGACGTGTGACAGTCTCATTGTCACAGGTCGGCTAGAACTATGAGGATGAGTGAAAATCACTCGCCTCATTGTTCTCCTTTAATGTCGTGGATGATGGAAAAGATAAAAAAGGATTTAAACAAAGGAACATCCTGACATCCGTTAAGCATAACTAGAAGGTTTTTTTTGTGGGGTTGTGTGGAAGTCGGTAAAAAAAAACTTTTATTAAATTTTTTTTCAAAAAAATAATTATTTCTCCAGTTTCAAGCTGAGCATAAAACTGTCATTTTAAAAGACATTATTAGTTGCAAGGAAAGGACAAAATATGGCAAACAAATGCATTGGTAAGCAAGATGGCAAAAACACACTTTTTAAATAACTTTATCATAATAAAAATGTTTTATTTATAATAACTTTTAACACACTAATAAATTGGAAGTAATAATTAGCTTTGATATTTCACTTTATAAATAGCGCCTCAATTTTATTGTGCAAATGAGACAAAAAGTGGAAAATAATTAAAATTTAGTACAAAATTAATATTTTTTTAATACATTTTTATTAGCGCATTAGTACCTAAGGCTCTGTATTATTATTATTAAGAATATTGTTGTTGTTGTTAATAATAATATTATTATCATTGTTATTATTTAGGGCTGTGGAAATTAAAGATTAATTTCTCGATTAAACGTTTTGATCGATTAAATTATTTTGATCGCTAATGAAAACACCACTCCCCTCTGCGCTTTAATCGATTAAAAAAAAAATCAATTAATCGAACACAAAAATTGTAATCATTACCAGCCCTATTATTATTATGATTATCAACGTTGTTGTTTTGATTTGATTTTAATTAGACGAGTGCATGATCCTAACTGGATTTGACACGCAGTCGGATTTGATTTCCACTTGCCTGCTTGTTGCTTTCTTGTATTTGTCTAGGACTCCTGTGGCAAGTTCAGACCCGTCGTCCATTAAACCACATAGAGCTGTAATTGTCCCGATAGGAATAAGTGTGAAAGTCTCGTAGAGAGACGATCTCATTCAAGCCAAAGGATAATAATATAAGGGCAAAAAAAATACATAATTCAGCAGGAACTGAGGAGCTCCCATAAAAAAAAGAACAAAATGTCAATATTTTAATGTAACTACAAAGTGACAATAAAACCCGGGAGTCAGTTCAGCGCTGACTGGCGGAACGGACAGGGGAGGGTACAGCTGGCTCTGCCTCCAGAGCCAACTGTCAATCACGCAGCTGGGTGGATACAGACAGTAATGGGTGACGGAGGACGCTGGTTTGTGTCCTCCCGTGACACTGAGGAGAACTACGGGGGAAAAGCCCGGACCCCATAGTTTCCCTTTACCTCTGAGCAACAATGTATCTTATTTGTGTATCACTCGGCTGTAGACCCTCCAATCATCTCTGACACTGTCCGTCCTTCTGGAGCGGGGGCTACGCCTGTCCCCCATGGTCCCTGTGTGTGTTGTAAAGTAGTCACCGCTCCCGGATGGACTACAATCGCATGTTTAGTTAGTACATTTGTATTGGGATTGTAGTCCATCACGGGAGTGATCTTGGAGCGGTGACTACTTTACATCACACACAGGGACCATGGGGAACAGACGTAGCACCCCTCCAGAAGGAAGGACAGTGTCAGAGATGATTGGAGGATCTACAGCCGAGTGACACACAAATAAGATACATTGTTGTTCAGAGTTAAGGTTCTTGAATGTACCCATAAAAGTGTCACTTTAAATGTGTGACAGTTTCATCCTTTATGACGCAATACTACCTTCTCTGTCAGTCCCTGTTCTGTTCAGGAATATCTTCCTCGGCGCCAACAACTGACTGAGGTGTGACTTTTTTTTTTTGTTCTACAGGTTTTACAGGCCATGGGATACCCAACTGGTTTCGACACAGATATGGAGTGTCTCAGTTCAGATGAGAAATCAGACAATGAAGGCAAGAACGAGACAGTGTCTTCAAATTCCAGCAATAACACGGGAAGCTCCAGTACGGACAGCTCCAACACACTGGAGGTAAGTGGAGGCCGCTGAGAGCACCAGATAGATAGATAGAGCGGTACAGATAAGCTAACCAATCACTTGGGATGCACCAAAATGCAATTTTTAGACCAAAACCGTAAATAAAAACCTTTTGTAAAATTATTTTTATTTATTTTTACTGTTGGGGCTTCGGGGGAAATATTTGGGGTCTAAACAGACCGCTGACATTTCCCTTTTTAAATTAGGAAAAGAGATTGAGGGCACAGAGTTATCAATCTCTTATTCTGTAGACCTTGTTATGAACGAACAGGAAGCCTCTATACTGAGTGTTCCTGTCCATTCCTAAACTGAGCAGAGGGTATGAGTTACTATGTCCACAATCATGAATGAACAGGAAGTGATATATAGCACTTCCTGTTCATTCATAACTGCGACATAGTAAGCTTACTGTGTCCTCAGTTATTTGCAAACACTCAGCGGTCAGTTGTGATCGCTGAGCACTTGTACTCGGCTCTCCATCCTGACTCCTGGCTGTCACAGGAGGCCGAGCGGGACGGTGCGGGAGGAGTGCTCGACCTCCGCTGTCAGCTGTCTCCTCCCCACTTTGCCTCCTGTGACAGCTGTCTCTTCCCCGCACCCCTCGGTCTCCTGACTGTTTCTCTCCTCCACGCTGGCCGCCGGTGTCTGTCCCCTCCGATCCCCGCTGCCTCTGACGAAACAGGTGAAGGAGAGCAGCAGGGATGAGGGGGGACACAGACTGGTCCCCAGCAGGGAGGAGAGAAGATAGGGGGATGCACTGAATTTTTGGACACATTTTTGGCTGTTAGGGCACTATCGGCATTTTGCCCATAGTACCATTTACGGCTACCAAAATGTCTGTGCATCCCTACCAATCACATTTTGCTCTGCTGCAGATTCTGACAAACTGAACCCAAAATGAGCCCTGTGACCATCTGTGGGATGAGAACTGTCACCTTTTCAGAGAAGGGGTTCACATTGTTTTGCCTGATGAAGGGGACCGCATGTGGTTCGGAAACATTGCGTAGGCTTGTGACACCGTGTTTATCTGAACGGCAATAAAAGACAGATCGATGAAGTGGAACTTGGTGTGCTGGTGACCTCATTACCTTCTCATATCAAGACGCAACAGCAATCCAAATAGAGAAAAGAAAGAATGGAGATATTTCCAAAGGAGTCCGCAGATTCAGTGTTACCAGGTCAGGACTCCCTTGCATGCCAAAAATGACTGGCACCGTTCCAGAGAGGTTCACGGGGGGGG